CAAAACCACATAGGCGCATTTGCGGTGCTATTGGGTTGGACAAATCTCATGTTGATGATTGGTCAATTGCCAGTCTTCGATGTCTATGTGGCGATGTACACACGTGTACAAGGTGAATTCGCGAAACTTTTCATGGCTTACTCATGCATGCTGATCGGTTTCACGATTAGTTTTTGTGTAATCTTTCCCTCATCGTCGTCATTCGCCAACCCCTTTATGGGYTTCATCACCGTACTGGTAATGATGATCGGCGAACAAGATCTATCATTGTTGATCAACGATCCCGACGGCAAGGAYCCGCCCTTCTTATTGGAAGTGAGCGCCCAAATCACATTTGTGCTCTTTCTACTCTTCGTAACAATCATACTGATGAACTTATTGGTCGGCATAGCCGTGCATGACATACAAGGTTTAAAGAAGACCGCAGGGCTCTCGAAACTAGTGCGCCAAACTAAACTCATATCGTACATAGAGTCCGCACTCTTTAACGGCTATCTACCGCCTTGGCTACGCAATCTATTACACTATACGGCACTTGTCTCACCGCAGGCCTACCGCGTCGTGTTGTGCGTAAAGCCGCTGAATCCCAGCGAAAAGCGTTTACCACGCGAAATACTCATGAAGGCGTACGAAGTGGGAAAAATGCGTAAACATTTCGGACATACGATTTCGGCGAAAGGTACCGCTGCGACTTATTTGCAATACAAAAACAAATATAATGATAATCAGACGCAAAACTATTCAATGGATGACTTGGAAACGGCACATTTTAACACGCTAACGACGAAAATCGACGAAAATGCGGAACGCATTGAATTCCTCACGCAGGAAATTCAGGAACTGAAGCAAGCGCTCATCACGCAACAACAGCAGGCGAGCAAAGTGATCGATAAGCTATTGATTGTGATTTCAAATCAGCAGAAGAATAATTTAAGGAAATAATTGAGATAATTGGCAGCATAAGCGAGTTTCAAATAAAATGCCACATTGTTTAGTTAGTATAGTGGACGAGCGCGAACGGAAATCAGCATTAAGTTATATCATCTATACATACAATTAGATAATCTAAGCATGGCAATATAAAGTAGTTAGCATTGTTAATATTCATAAATATAATAACATACGAGTATTTATAATATTTTTACTTATTTACATTTCACATTTATGTACTGTGTATATTATGGTATTTAAAACTTTGTTTCGGAAGCAATCGGCAAAAMAAAAATGTAAAAAGGTATTTGGCAAATTTTATTTTGTAGAACTCTAATAAAGAATACGTAGATGAAAAACCAAAGCAGTATTGAATAAAACATTTGAAATCTGTTTTCCTTCTTTACTTTTTAAATATTTTAATTTACTTAGTATAATCCACTAAATATAATATAAAAGAACAACATAGTGATGTTTAGGATTCCAATAAACGAATTTTAAGTTCTTGAAATGTTATTTTATTTAACTGTGCTTATTTGGACCGTTTCAAGGATGCTGGGGAGAATGGATAATAGCCAGACTTGACAGACAGACAGGCTTTGTCTAATCCGAAGATACATGAGGACCGAGTTGAAATTCAATTTAATGGMCTTGCCTCTACGGACCCGAGGAAAGACGCGATATATTTTAGCCTTAACCAAAAACYACSCTGTGAGCGAACGATGGTCTTAGCGCTGGACTTTTTAAAAGCCTTTGACACAGTCAGTCACACAACGCTACTGCAGGACATCGAAAAATCTACAACTGCAGTGGTGGACCATGAACTACTTGAGCGGTCGTCAATCATTTTCAGAATTTCGAGGAGAAGACACAAAACTGAGAAGAATTAAAGAAGGTGTTCCGCAGGGTGGTGTCCTCTCCACGCTACTATTTAACTTCTATATAGCCACCACTGGGAGTTTCTATTACCTGGTACATTAATGATAACACGACATTGACTTCGAGATATGGAATCGATGGCATRTGTTCAAAGGTAAACGTCCTATCTCTCCGACCTTTCTCGCTTTCTCTCTACGCGGAACTTAACACTCTCCCCAACTAAATCCACAGTGACCATTTTTACAAACTGGACGAATGAGTGCAGACTTGAACTTAATATTGCAGTCGATGGCATCAARATTCCGACTGCCAATAATCCTAGGAGTGACTTTTGACACTCCTTCGCTTTTCATACGACCGCGATTATCGCCAAAGTACAGAGCCATAACAAAATCGTCAAGTCGCTAGCAGGCAGCACATGAGGAAAGGACAAAGAAAGTTATTGGCAACTTACAAGGCAATCGGACGGCCGGTTCTAAACTATGCCGTACCAATATGGTCGCTTGGATACAGTGAAACGCAGACGTTGCTGCTGGGGTGTTTTCCCAGAAATGATCCTTGCAGTCACCTGCATGGAGCGGAACCGCCTCGTAGGAACATCAAGAGGTTATTCTCCAACTACGATGACGACATCAGACAATACGCCGACCCGGTTTCRGATGCAAYAAATTTCAGACATTCACTGACCGCTATTTACAGYGGAGCCATCAACACCTTCACCTACTTCGAAGAGTTCCGAGTTGCGGCGAGAAACGAGAGTGACCCTTGCGCAGCTCTTAAACTCATACTTATCCAGAATAGACCCCGACATATCCAGTAYATATTCTGCATGCAATGAGTCTCCGCATGACAGACCTTTTTGTATGCCCACCAACCCAACTTATCTGACACCGCTCTCCCTTTGGTCCGACCTCATCGAAACAGCACTTTCTTAAGCTTTCCGTTGGATGACGTCGACGACAACTTAGCTAATTTTCACTATCCATACAGGGATTAGGCATTCGTTAAAACAACWGCAAACAAAACATCGTGAAAAATGTGCGTCATTCGCCATTTACCGGTCGAAATGCTAGAACGAGTCAACGAAAATTGCACTCAACGGATGGACTRACTGTAGAAGTTCACGCAAGTGCGGAAAGTTCTCTGAATTATTTGGAAGTGGTCAGCCAAAAAATATCCGTTTGAAGGCGAGMTRAAGTGAGAAGGTGAACAGTCCCTCGCCAGGGTTGTGTGCAGTGTTTGGGACCCGCCACGTGTTAGGGATTACGATTTAATGGAATACGCCATTTATTGGGAAGGTGTCACTGCCCAACTAGTTTATTACCTGTAAAAATAAAGACGGACATCACCGCCATTCAAGAACTGACAACAAGGATTAAGGTGAGGTCCTTGTGTGTATGAACGTCTAGTCACAATCCGCATCAAAGCGGAAGAGAAGGACGTTGTGGGCAAAGATGTCTTCTATATGCGCTTGGAGCGCACTTACGATATCAAAATCGTGCTTGGCGACTTTAACGCCAGGGTGGCAAAGAAGGTATCTGTGGCACAACGGTCGGTAAATTCAGCCTCCATGATGAAACAACCCCAAATGTGTTGAGATTCCAGTGTAAGAAAATTCATCGGACGGAAGACACGTCTTCAGTTGACTCGAACGATTTTACTCTCTGCGAGCACTCGTCAGCAACTCGGTATAAGGGAAATGTGGGACGGCATTTCAAGCTGCAAACGAAACCACTGGTTTTTGGAAAAAGAAAAAAGGAACACCTGGTGCAATGAAGAGTGTTGTGCCGTAGCCTACCTTGCAAAGTTACAATCGACCACAATACGTGCGGGGTGGGTAGATACTGAGAGTTAAAGAGGGAAGTGAGACGCATTTGCAGACAGAAAAGAAAGAGGCCGAAACGCGACAGGGGTAATGCTCGAAAGTTTTAAGAAAAGATGCGCCAACTAACAGAAGGTTTTAAGACTAGCGCATACTCGTGTAGAACCTCCAGAGGTGATCTAGTGACTAATGCCCATAGCATGCTAAAATTATGGAGAGAACACTTCTCCAGGCTGTTGAGTGGCAATGAAAGAGTAACATTAGGAGATGGGGACGAAGAACTGATAAGGAGCATGCATCAACTTCTTTGTAGAATATGGTCGGACAAAAGCATGCCCGACGATTGGAATTAAAATTTGATCTTTCGAATCCACAAAAAGGGGGATCCATAATCTACGTCAACTACCGTGAGATAAGCCTTYGCAACCTCACATATAAGATTCTATGGAGCGTATTGTGTGAAAGATTCAGGTCATCTGGACCTGATGGCATCATATCAGCGATCTGTAAAGGTGTTATGCTACTAGAGACTCAACATGCCTACAGCAAAGGTAGGTCGGTGGACACTGTTTCGCACGCCGTTTTGTTATGCGTGGAGGAAGCCCTTTTAAGGAAGTACTACGCGGTGGGAACATTTCATCGACTTTGAGAAAGCATTCAATAATGTGAGGCCTGACGTGGTCATTAGTCTCTGTTCATATGTAGGATTTTCTGCGACAGAACGAATTGGGGRCGAATTGGGGCAGTGCGCGTGGTGTTGACTCCTATTTTCTGGATCTTAATGGTGAATAACATATTGAAATAACTCGAGGAACRAGGATGTCGGGTGATAACCAGCGCAGCTGATGTCGTTCTCCTGGTTAMAGAAAAATTTCTGAATACCATCTATGAGTTAACACAAGGGTACCTCAATTTGGTAGCTAGCTGGGCSGAGAGGAGCGACTGATTACGGTTTTATTTAGGAGAAGGTATAAAATCCGGGTGGCACCTCTTCCGTYATTGAGTGGCTGCCGTCATCACCTTGTTGAAGAGATGAAGTACTTTYTTTGGCCCTAACTTTGATAGAAAGCTATCATGGAAATTTAACGTTGAGGGGCGGGTGAGTATGACACTAGTTGCCCTATGTTGCTCTAAAAGGGCTATTGGGAAGCGATAAGTACTCTCACCAAAAATTGTGTTTTGGCTTTCCGAAATCGTAGTTAAGCCAATACTGTTCTRTGGTGTATTTGTCTCGTGAGGGGAGCAAGAAATTAAAATAAACAGCCGCTCAAATCTTCTGAGTTGTGCAGATTTCAATGTATGAATTACGAATTCTCTTATTACGTATAACGCTGCCCCTCGGGAATAAAATAATATGCAAGAAACTCACCTGTTCACGGGACTGTAGTTCTTCGAAATAGGTGATGTCTTGACCATTAATTGTAATTTTTCCAGTACCTGGTAGGCGAACAGTAACATCGCCGCGTGCTGTCTTACGTAAGCATTCTAAGCGAAAGGAAATTTATAAAATTCATTTATATACATAGTTTACATCAGGTTATTTTAAAACTACATACCATATGTCGTAACAAATTGGCGACCTTCAGCATCGAATTGTGGTTTTGGTATCTCCAATTGTTTGGTTTGATTCAACAATGGCTTGGCAAATTTATTGATAAAATCTCGACTTTTATATGAAAATGGAAGCGACACTAAGCGATCCATTGCATTGGTGAAATTTGTATATTCCAAATCGTTTATCTTTTCTACCAGAATTGCTTCGAGTTGATCCTTAGTTAACCATTGGAATCCAGTGAAATCACTTAAATAAAATTGGTATTATTATTTATAAGTTTGGGATAATTTAAACTTACACTTTTTGATTTGGGTCTGCGCGTGTACCGCGACGCAACATGCGTTCCTCAAGATCATATAAATTATTCATCTCTTCAACAATATCCTAAATAAATTGCGCTTGGTTAAAAAAAAAATTAATCATCGACGATTGAAATACCTACGTATAATAATTTAAAGAAATTTGGTCGTCCAGTGTAGAACATACTATGAAAGGGACGTCCTGTTTCGTCAAACTCTGCTGCTTTACGCGCTGGAAATACTTCTTCAGGGCTTTTCATTAAAGGGCGTGCTCGCTTATCAAACAATCCAGAGGGGAATAAATATTCGATGGCATTCTAAAAACAGAAAAATCGAATTATAAATTTCATTAAGCAACTGATCATATTTACTTACATCGATGTCTTCTTGCGTAAACGTTTCTGGGTCTTCTCCCATCATATTCGCCAAATGCCTCTTACCAATTTGATACTCCAACTTCTGGGTTTTCATAAATTCATCGTTTTCGCGAGCACGTTCGAGGTATGCCTTCATGGCTTGACTAACTTTCTGTTTCTTCACCGCTAGGGGTGCAGCTTTGACGGTTACCTCAGTTCCAAAGTTGCGGCTTGCTTGCTAAAAATTAGATTTAGGTTAGGAACATTATATTAGGACACACATTATGAGATGATATCTATTCAAAGATTATCGATAATTACAATTTGGGCTGCATAGCTATCTGTGATTTTGCATATATTTTGCACATAATTTATGTTATTTTTTAAGAAATTTGAACCAAATCGCAACGCCACRGCCATATTAGAAGGTTTTAAGAAAAAGGAAAAAACTATGACAGACAATCTGTTGAACAGCTGATGACAAATGGGAATAAACAAAACAAAGAGTGCGATAATTATTATGGCATAACAGTGTTGGAACTAGGAAAAAGGGGATTKTAAAACAATTTTTTATATTAGATCCGAATTATTTATTATCTTATTAACATTCCTAAGTAATGTAAATTTATTTATTTTCATATTATTATTTTTTAAATGAATCTCAGTGAACTTGTTTAATTGTATCGGCTGAATAACCTACACTTGAGGCGAATAAAAACAATAGAATATAAACTTTTCGAAAAAAACAATAAATTTTGATTCACTTTCAATGGTTTTGAGTACATTTTTGTTTACATCATATTTTCATAGTTTTTAATCTCCGATTCCTTGTCATCCATTTGGTTTTGCAAGTTATCTAGGGTCTCCTGCATACGTTGTTTTAGTGTTGGATTTTGAATAGATGATATTTCTTGTGCCTTTTGTGAATGTTGAGCTTTGAGTTCTTCGTATTGCCTACGTAGTTCAGCTATCCTCATCTGTATCTGCTCGGAGTTTAGATGAGTTGATACATTATTGGCCTCGCTTGAAAAGTCATCATCGTATTCGTTACGTTTTTGTTCTTCATAATAACCACTTGGAGCTGCCAAATTTGAATTTGAACCACTGAATTTTGACACCATGTCATCTGCGTCAGCTTTTGGACTGCCAAACATTGATTTTTCGAATTCAGTTGCGTTATCTTTTGAAAGATTTATACCAGTAGCATTATCGTTACCAGCACCACCCATACCGCTTGATTTGGCAGCAGCGTCGCCACCACCATTACCACCAATTGAGAAATCTGACAAGCGAGAATCGTCCGCAGATAATCTTGACATTTCCTCGATATCTTGTATACGAGATGTACCCCGTCGCATGTCCTCATCATCATCCGAGGAAGAGACTTCTTCACCAAATATATCATGCTCACCAACACCACCAATCGGTCCAGTCCCTGATGGCAATTCTTCATCATCGCCATCGGATTCGACATTAATGTCTTTCTGAGAAGATGAGTCATTATTTTTGTCACCTTCATTCATGACCTCATAGTTGTATTCTTCTTCTCCTTCGTTGTAGTCCTTAGATTGCTGTTCTAAAGAACGTTTGTCCAAATCTTCATTTATGATTTCGAATTCTACTTTAACGGCGTCGTTATCTATACGCAGGAGACGTTTCACTTCTTTCTCAATTTCAGGAGCTTCAACATTCTTCTTTTTTAAAGTTTTACGGAATCGCCGTTTACGTACATTTTTACATGGAGGTGTAATTCCATGTGGCCACAAATATTTCTTGTCGACCTTATTAGGATCCTTCTTTTTGCCTTTGTTTGGAGACTCTTTCTCTGAATCTAATGCATCAGGTTCTTCTTTGCAGATCATCTATGAAATAAATCAAAAAATACAAATGCAATCATTTCAGAAGTCATACATTTATAAATATTCTCTACCAGTTGACAGATATCGGCGGATTTGTAGAAATTTTTGCTGTCTATAGTTTTAAGACATTCTATGATTGTTGGCAAATCGACCACCTTAGCATGTAAAAGCCAATGATCAAAACGCAGTTCACCATACCGAAGATCGTTATCCATTTTAATTGTCATCCTGTCCTTAATACTTCCWGTTAGTAGAGCCTCATGTAATGCTTTGGCCGGCTCCTGTTGAAACACCAAAATGGTTGTCATATATTTCAAGAAATTGTTATKATCAGGAAATCTATGTAATTTACCTCGGGTAATCGAAGTATAAATTGATTTTCCAAATCCACTCCATCATCACGCGGTTTTGTTTCATGTTTCACTTTCTCGGTTTTCTTTTCTATCATATTGAGTGTTTATACTTTTTTAMAGAAATTGTTGAAATATGATATATATCTGTTCGTCGTAAGTTTTATTTTGAAGTGCTGTTTTAAAGGTTTGTTTGCTTCATTCTTTGGCATTCACAATAGTGTAGTTGTAAAGAAAATCTGTTTACAGCAATAATGTTGAAGATAATGTATAGGAAACCGTAAGGGCCTATTCACGTATAACTTTTCCCCCTTTGTTTGACAATTTATGTGAGAGAGCGACAGACTTCAAGCGACRTCTGTCAAATATTAAAATACACACGTTCTTAAGAAGTTATTTATKTAGACAGCTGCACKACTACATTAATGCACTTAATCCGGATTAACGCTRCCGTCTGCCAATGATATTAGAMTGAACGTTTTGTTTTCCGTGCTCCTCATCAATCAAATAAGACTTCTGCTTAGCAATGTTTTGATTCGTCTTTTCTGTATTTCACTTCGATGTGAACGCATTCATACAAAAGCATACTTCGAACTTTTGTTCTAAGCATATTAATTTTAAGATATTAAATGATCCTCGGAAGATTGGAAGGTCATATAATGGAAAAATTTTCCGTGTGAGGACACATAAAATCTTCATATAAATCAACTATAACGCAAACACTTTTGTAAACTCTTGACATAAATATTTTTATATTGGTTTATATTATATTTTTAGAAATAATTATCAATTAAGAGGATTATATAACGAAGGATAAAATTTAATTGATTTCGGCAATAGATATTATTGTAAGTACTAGTAGTTTAAAGTAAATGAAATTTTAGCTTTGGTTACTCTAGCTAAATAACAATTGTTAATGAAGAAGAAGCAAATAGTGAGAAATTTGACAGTCACTTAATTYTTCTTATTTGGACAAGTTACCTCCTTTCGTTTTTCACGTTTCTGCCCGGTAAAGAATCTGATTTTTCATTTGCTTTTAATTAAAATTAATAAAGTTTTGCTTTTATTCTGAATAAAAACTAGAATTTGACGAAACTGCTGACGGGCGCTTCATTATGCTTCCACAAACTGCTCTCTGCTCGAGGGGCCTATTTCTCATATCGTTGTTGTTCTTTTCAAGWTGTGTCAATGCGCTTTACGAGGATCAAATAAAAAAATTCGATTGGTAAGTAATATAAAAACTAAGTTGCCTAAAGAATAAAAATGTATACTGATACTAAATTATGTACAGGAGGATACAACACATCGGAGCGATAGATCAGGCGCATTTAGAATTAAATTCCCTAAGTCCACGTTTGCTTGTTAGCACTCATGAAAATGTTGTTGCCGTATTGGAACCTCAGACTGGAAAAATAGTATGGCGACAAGTACTTGAAAATCTACCACGTGGAGATCTGAAGTTAATGCAGGTGGGAACGGCTTCAGTGAACATAAATGAACCCGAGAGCACTGCAGCAGCACCAACCAATTCAAAGCACGGCTTCGACGTGCTTACCGTACAAGGTCATGCACCTGCTTTAGTACGGGGTTGGAATGTGGCTAGTGGTAATCTAGAATGGGAATGGTCTTTAATGCCCCTTCAAACAGAACGCGCTGAATCAGCCTTTTGGTTCTATAAGAATGGTATACTATATCATGTGATTCCAACATGGCATAGTCATATTGAAGTCACCCCATATTTCGCCACCACTGGGCGGGCGACAGAAACAACTGCAAGAATATCTGCAGGATGGATTAATGCTGACAAATGTGTTCTTAGCGGTGTTTACTATACTTGTTTGGAAARTAGTCAGTTGATAGGTATTGATTTGACGGCGAGCCAGCCACAAATTTTGCGAAAGACTTTGGAGAATGTCTCAAAGGATAAGCTTCGTGCTGTGGAGGTTGGTGTCAAATTCATATAACAAATATTTTATACAATTCTAAAAAAAAAAGCTGTATTACAGGGAATAAGCGGTGCTTATGCGATTGGAACAAGGTTGGTGAGCATACACGAAGCCTCGATTGTATGTAACAATTATGAAAGCAAGARTTTCATATTAGGAAAATTCCAAAAACGACGCGTTTTAGCGCAGGCCGACGTCGTTAATAATGTGAGTTACAGACATTTATCTGTTTTCTACAGGGAACATAACACATAACCACCATAACTTAATTCTAAAATATAAATCAAACSATATTTACTTAAAAAGTGTGGTTATGTGTTTTTTGACAAAAAATTTCAGCGCCACAATTAACTATAGTTACTTTTTTAGGTTTTGCAAATTCGAGGACACTATGTGGATAGTTGTGAGCCAGTGCCTGAAATGACTATTAATATGGATTATGCTGATCATTATGGCGCACCGACGTTGAAAACATTCGCTTGTGCGTCACAAAGCAAAGGTTGTTGGTATGTACTCGGCACAGAGGATGAGTCTATTTTGGCTGTGAACAGAGGCAAGCTGCGCTGGGTGCGACAGGAGTCTTTAGCGAATATAGTGGCCAGTGAATTCATTGATTTACCGCTGGCCGATGCAGAGGGAACATTAGAAAATGAAATGAGAGGAAATACAGGTATGTTAAACATTTAGTGTTTAAAGTGAAGTGCATAGAGTGACATAAAAAAAATAATATTCCCTTCAATATATATTATATATATTTTTTTCTTGCGCGGTCTTTGAAATACATAGTTTAGTATCAAATATGACGCTTTCAATAGATATTTATATATTATATTAAAATTTTCTCTGATAATTTTTAACGCTGTTATCTGGAATTTTAAGAGGATGCTACGGGATTGGAAAGTGAGTGAAAATTGTAAAAATTTATAAACAAAAACCTTAATATTCATGTTTTTTGGCTGCTCCCTAATTTTTAGTTTGCAATTTTTTTTTTAATTTTGCAAAATGTTATCTTATATAAATATGCATACAATACATATTTTTTGATTTTACACAATAATTGTGGTCTTTAAAAACCATTCTTGGGTTTGAGTACAACTTAATTGCTTTCAGCTCCTATTTTTTTTTTTTTTTTTAATTTCATATTTACTTATGTATATGTGCTTAGTTGAAATTTTTATGTAAAGTATACTCGTATAATTATATAATTGTATTTAGGTGATATTGCGAGTGCATTTTTGCGCCGCATTTCTACTCAAGCTATGCAAATTAAGAGCATATTTCTACATGTTATCGGCTTGGGACAACCACCAACCGATACACAAAAGGCTGGATTAGTGCGAGACTCTTTTGGATTGCATAAAATGTTGGTTGTGTTGACACGCAGTGGTAAAATATTTGGCATTGATAATATAAGTGGTAAACACCACTGGCAGCTCTATTTAAGCGATATTCAAAACTTCGTAAATCAGGAACCTATGCGATTATTGGTACAGCGTACATCTAAACATTTCCCACTGCAGCCACTTTGCACTGTTGTGGCTAAGGAAAAGGTAAATATTATATTCAAAATATGTTACTAACATCAAACATGTGTATGTATGTATATTTTTAACATTTTCTGTTCTATTCAGCTAACCGGCAATGGCGTGCTATTCCGCTTTAATCCGATCAATGGTAAGCCCGCCGAAGGTGGACTATTGAAGTTGAATTACAAAATCAAACAACTTACGCTGTTAGCTGAATCGGAAAAGGATTCTATAAAAGGACTGCTGTTACTGGACGGACAAAACAATGTTGCCGTATACCCGCAAWACGTTCAAGAGATGGTAAATGTTTACACATAATATTACTTACATACACTTTATATTTGCGTTTTTTTGCATGCTTGCTTTCAGGCACATGGCATGTATTTGTTTACTGCTGACAAATCAACTGCTGTGTTGGACGGTTTCTTTGTACAATATGCCGACAATGTGAGCGCTTATTATACAAATTTATATATGCATTTATTTTTTTGTATATATTTTATTATGTACTGATAGGTCTTAAGTTCGCTACCGATTTGGAATGTRCGCTTAGGTGGTCACAACAATGACCATCAACTTGTCGCGATAGCTGGAAAAAATCCTYTAGAGCATGTTCACTCGCAAGGCCGTGTGTTGGCGGATCGATCTGTGCTYTATAAGTATATCAATCCCAATTTAATTGCTGTGGTCACACAAGCCACCGATCCTACACACAAATGTGAGCATATTTACAACACGGTTTATTAAATTTTTTATTTATCATATTTCTTTTATTTTAACAGTTTTATTGAACGTCTATCTCATCGATGCTGTGTCTGGCTTAATTGTTTTCTCTATGACTCACCGCCGCGCTAGAGTACCGGTACATATTGTGCATTCTGAAAACTGGCTAGCTTATTCGTATTATAACGACAAAGTGCGCCGYACTGAAATCAGTAACTATTTTCAATTGGTTAGAAGAAAACAAGAATTAATATTTTAAATCTATTAAATATTTGTAGCTACAATAGAATTATACGAAGGTAAAACACAGGCCAACAGCACCGTTTGGAGCTCATTGAATGCACCCCCCTTGCCAATGGTTGAACGCCAATCTTATATCATACCTACATTAGTGGAGACAATGCGTGAGACTATAACCGAGCGTGGCATAACAAACAAACACGTGCTTAGTATGTCGACAATATTTTATCTTCCAATTCGTACTGTTTAAATTTGGTTTATTTGTTTTTCTTTTATAGTTGGCACAGCAAGTGGAGCTATCATTGAGATGCCTTGGGCTTTGCTCGATCCGCGTCGCCCAATAACAACGAACACACAAGGCCGAGAGGAGGGTGCGATACCTTACATTCCTGAATTGCCATTACCAACSGAGAATATCATAAATTATAATCAGACCATTGCACGCTTAAGCAATATATTTACAGCACCCAGTGGTTTGGAGAGTACATGTTTGGTTTTGGCTACTGGTTTAGGTCAGTGTCGGGCAATCAAATTTCAAAGTATTTTAAGAGAATTTATCTAAGTAAAATTAATGAATGCAAAATATTTGTATAGTAATGATCATTTTTCGATGCAAAAAAACTGTTAATAAGCAAACATTTTATTTAATATTTTTTACAGATATTTTCGTGACGCGCGTTGCACCATCAAAGACATTTGATTTGTTAAAAGAAGACTTTGATTACACTCTAATTACGGCTGTRTTGCTGGCCCTAACAAGCGGTTCATTGGTGGTCAAGCATCTGGCTTCGCGCAAACTATTAAAACAAGCATGGAAATAAAATAATATTAGTCAATCTGCATGCACCCAATGCARCAACACTATAAAGTAATAATTTAGAGTCATTAATAAATAAATTAAAAATTATACCTATAGCCAATTGAAGGTATAGCATAACAATATACCGAAAAATAAGCAAAATAAAATAAATAATAATTATAAAAAAATTTATATTTACATACATCTATGTGTTAAATTAACAATCAGCTGGTGCTTTAATTTTTGTAAAGCAAACAAACATGACTATGTGCTATTCAACTAAAGTAACGCTGATATTACTTTTATTTACACTTCACTTAGGCAGTTTGGTTACTTGAGTTATTTTCGGTATTTTRTTTCTTTAATTAAATTTGTATTATTTTTGTTATTTTTTTACAATTAAATTTATACATGATTTTTGCTGTTAGCTTATTTGATTTTGTAATCCTTCGGCTACATTAGTTATAATTTACCAAAAAATTGGGAAATGCGAATCCAAATAGTAACAATAAAACAATTTAAAAGAAATAAATTGTGTTTGTAAACTGCATAGGCAAAAAAAAATCTTTTTCATACCAGAAATRTATTTGGTGTTCTTTATTAATGATCTCGCACGGAAGGTTTTTACTTAGTTTCCTTCATCGATATACATATTATTATTAATTAATTACAGAGAAATTCTTTTCTCGAGCAATGGAGCTCACAACCTTCAAACTAAAAGCAGGTAAATTTTTATTTGTCCAAACTATTAGAAAATAGCTAATTTCTTCTCCACGAGAATGAATTGAAAGCTTATATTAGCTATTGTCATAATTATTCAATTTTATAGTTGTTATTTTTCTCGATGGGTCATTGTTCTTTCAATTAGAGCTGACGAATTTGAAACTATATTTATTTTTGTCATTATTCTTCCAATACCTCACATGATGTTCCATTGAATTACAGCAATAACAAGAAATGTCAAGTTGCAATCATTCCGCATAAATGAATTTACGCAGATAAACAAATCCGAAAGCAGTTGCTAGTTCGCAGCATCAATAAATAAAAAGGAATTTTCGGTTTATTTTTTTTATTGTACTTTAATTGAAGAGATGCTTAATATAAACAAAAATGTAGCAAATTAAATCATTTTCAAAAATTATTGTGCAGAAGTTTCATTCATACATACGTATACGTACATATATTGTACATGTGCATTCATATATAGTACATATGTGTGTACATATAAGTGTACACCAACTTTTATTAAGAAATACCCGTTGTGCTTTTAGTGTTTAGACAGCTAATTAAATGCAAGATATCCTTCTCTAAAGGCGTTTATCTTTTATACATACATAGCCTAAATTAAAAAAGGAGTATATGTACTTATGTGTAGAYAATATTTATAATGCATAGATCAATATTTATAGCCTTTAAAATTTGTGACAACTTCTAAGGTGAATAAATATTTAACGTTTTCTCGCGACACTTAAAGAATATTCAGCAGTGTATGTCTGTACGTCTTATGAGATTTTATAAGAACAATAATGTTAATTATTATTCAGTTGTGGGTACTGCTTTCTCCATATGCCTTGCATTTACCAACTCAAATCTTCCGGTAGCCCGCCCGGATACTCGCCGGTTAAACAAGCCGTGCAGTGACCGCTTTTATTCGGACTAGAAACCTGTTTGTTCATTTCCACTGCTTTTACTAGACCCTCCACACTTAAATATGCCAAGCTGTCTGCACCCACATGTCGGGCCAATTGCTCTGCATTCAATTTGTTGGCAATAAGCTCTTCACGCGTSGGAATGTTAATGCCCATGTAACATGGATATTGCAGCGGTGGACTGGCTATGCGTATATGTACCTCTGCTGCTCCGGCATCGCGCAACAGCTTGATAATTGGTCCGATGGTGTTTCCGCGCACAATTGAATCATCGATCAGAACAAGTCGTTTGCCAGCTACATTCTCGGAAAGTGCGCCAAACTTTTTAGCGACACCCAATTTGCGCAAACGTGTCGATGGCTGAATAAATGTGCGGCCTACGTAACGGTTCTTACATAGTACCTCAGCGAATGGCAAGCCGGACTGAAGTGAAATGAGGAAAAAAAAAGATTTTGAAGTAATATAATTATTAACATTTATACATACATACATATACTTAGATGCAAATATATTTGGGAAGCCACTAAATGTGCCTCCAAAAAATAGGCATTTCTATGCCGTAGTAAATATAGAAATTAATAACACCATAGAATACATAAACTACGAAATTATGAAGCAATTTTTTGGGAAAAATGGGTTATTATCATGGATTTAGGCACCCAAGGGTCATTATCAGTATATCATAGTCGTCGAAAATCTCAAACTAAAAGTTTAATAGATAAGGAAATGGCTTTCAAAAGTTAMCATATAACAATATTTACATATGTATTGTATGTATATACTTATAATTAATTGATTTCGACGATTAATGATCACATTTATAGGAATTATTTTAAAAAGTCTCCTTTTTATAGAAAAAATTGTATGGAATATTATTTTAAAGTAGAGGTATTTTAGGAAATATAAAATAAGTTTGAAAAATGTAACGCTATTAATTAATAACACTTAAAAATTGCGCGTGCGTAAATATGTACATTACATGTGTGTATTGTTTTACACTRTTTCGGTCACATTTTTTATTATTATCAATATTTGAGATCTTGAGCTTAATAATTACAATAATTAAGTTTATGCATACTCACCTCTCTAGCATAGCCATGCGCTGCCGCTGTACCCGATTCTGGCACTGAGCTAACTATATCTGCATCGATTAAGGCCTCGCGTGCCAACTGTTTACCGCACTGCATGCGTACCGAATACACCATTTGACCCTCAAATATCGAATCGCCGCGCGCAAAGTAAACATATTCGAAAATGCAAAAAGCTATGCGCTTATATTCAGGTAGTTTGACCACATCGATGGTGCGGAAGCCGTTGCGCGTCAATTCTACTATTTCCCCCGGTTCGACTTCCCGCACGTATCGCGCCCCAATCGACAAGAAACCACAACTTTCACTCGACACCACCCAACCATCGGCGTGCACGTCTTCAAGCTTAGCATTCGAATCGCCATTGATAGGCATAATTTTTCCAAGGCAAAGTGGCCGATTACCGTATGGATCACGCGCCCCATAAATCTTATCTTTAAACATCATAACAAGTGAGTAGGAGAGTGGCGCCAATTGCATAAAGTTACGTATGCGCGCCGGCCAGTCTGGYCCATCTTGTTCAAAGACACCTTCGGGACACAAACAAAGTGCTTGTCCAATCAATTCACTATCGCTGTGTGTTGACAAACCAACGCCACGACTCAGCAAATCCCGCCTAAGCGATTCAGAATTTACTAGTTCGCCATTGTGCGCTACAGCAATCGCGCCATGCAGTGTATGTACAACGAAAGGTTGGCAATTGACTACCTCAGAGGCGGCGGAAGTGGAGTAACGTGTGTGGCCGATACCTAGATTGCCCTTGAGTTTCTTGATAGACTCATCGTTGAAGAGGGTGCTGATCATGCCCATCCCTTTGTGTGTATTAAAATTTCTTGAAGTATTACCTTCACTTGTCACAATACCTGCCGATTCTTGGCCGCGATGTTGCAATGCCACTAAACCCAAACAAATCACGTGCGCCACATCAATTTGCGTCGGCCAATCGCCACAGGCGATGGCGCCGAAAACACCGCACTCATGTGTTAATCCAGTTTCTGGCTCGGCTGCAGCGTCCAATGTATTTACTGTTGTATCATTTTGCTCTAAAATATTGTCAGCCTCTGTTAATTGTAATTCAGGGGGATATGTAGTGCCACCTGTTGCACATACACTTATCTCAGCTGTTGCCATTTTCAAAGCCACTTGTAGATAGTTGATTATTGATTTAGTGTATAAAAAAGGCGCTTGTTAGCCTTGACGCACTGCCTACGGTTTCCGGTTTGCAGCCTCTTGTCTTCATAAGTCAACCATGCGTTACGCAAACGTTGCGCGAATTATTAGGATTTCATTCAACGTTGTTGTAGTACAACAATTACCATGTGCGTATCGTTTAAGCGATTTATTGCGCACCCAAGTACTTTTAATGTTTTTATGGCGAAGAATAATTCTAAACTGATTTCTTGTTRCTTAAATGCGGGCAAGTAGAAGCTAGCGGAGAGCTCCGACCCAACGTCARWGGTGATCGCTCAGCACCCGCTCTCATGCGCCTGTCAGAGTTGCTTAATTGTGATCATAATTATTAACCCAAATGTTGACGTAGAGTGTTTGCGATACCCTAATGAAATTCATAAATTTAGTAATGTACATACATATGTATATTTTGCTTGATATATTTATTTTAGAAATATAAGTGGTAGAGGCATAGATATATTCATAGTGTATAATCAAAAATCCTTAAGATAATTGTGACATACAGTCAGTCGACTGCCGATTTTACCTTAGAATAAATAAATTAATTTTTAGCATGAAACCAAATATTGGCACGTTTAATAAATTAAATTTCAAATGAAAGCATTCGCTTGCCCATTAATAATGTATTAATTGTAATAATGTATTTGTACATACATATATATTTCTAAACGATATTTAAAAATAATATATATYCACGAATTAATAATTATTATATTAAGCTTAATTATCACGCTTACCTGCAGTATGCTTAATTATTCTGCTCGAAGCAAAATGTTGTTGTTGCYGTTGTAGCGACAGAAAAAATTCTTGAAGTGATTTCGTGAAATGGTGGCCAGTTGACACTGCGCGGCTGGATAAAAATCCAGGCCGTCCCGTTTACTTAGACTCGACAAGCGGGAACGGAAGACAAAAAAGTGCATTGAATGACTATATTTTAATTAGAAGATTGTACATAGCCAACATGCCGCACTTTGTTTCCAATAAGTTGSAGTTGAAAAGGCAGAGATATTATTTCATTCTTTAAAAAATATATAATAATCTATTTCATTTCTTTMAAAAAAATGTATTATTATCCAACTTTTTTTTATTAATGTTAACTAAGTCGAAGGCATTCCAGAATCTTGGTCATGAATGAATTGTATTACTAACTTCTCTAGATTTCTTATTTTGTATTCAAAGTGCTCAGTATCATCCCATACCTCATATAATTATTTATTAGAGGAAAATATTTTGATATATCAAATGACAATTCTCTGCTGAGGCTGATTTTTATTGATTTTATTTTTTTGATTTATATTATATCTTGAGATGATAAATGAGTAATGAAAGTACTTAATATGTTCATTATCACTATTGATTAACTGCAGAGGTTACTCGCATGGATCTTGAGTCTGCGTTTTTAACAAAATCAATTGCCGTCACTGTAACAACTTTGTCACGTTTCTTTATAAATGTGACGTTTAATTATGCAACTTCAATTGTAAAGATGTACATCAATGATTCAAAGGTAAGATATTTCAGAAATTATCGGATACTAAATGACGACGTGAGCTGAGTGCTTCAGATTATAAAACACGAGCGTCTTTCTAAGAAGTACTGCGGTTCGATGAATTGTTATTTACAAAAACAATATTTACCCCAGAAATATTGTGAAATTTAAATTCAAATACAATTACAATTTTATAAAACCGTTTTTATTTATCTGTGTGTATATCATTAATTTTTTAACATATACAATTATTTACTACTGAATTTAAGCATACTTACAATTTGTACATTTTCGCAAGAATATCAAATACACATATTTCGCATTATCTACATATATACATATAAACAGAGTAAGTAACCAATTTTATCATTTAAAAAGTACATTTAATTAAGTAACATGTTGCGGTTTAAGTAGAGAAAAAATAAACTAATGAAATTATATAACAGAATTGCACTACAACTTAAATTAGACTATCACTGATTTAAGACGGGCCGATCTACACTAAATTTGATATTCGATAATTTTATATGTACATACATATATACATACATATAAATGTGTTGAAAAATGTTACTGAAAAATATGTTTAACTGTATATTTATATAGCTCAACTATAATTAAAATATTATAAAGTATTTTCTGTGTCAATAAAGTTAGTAACCAAGTGTGTGATCGTTCATCGCCTGTACATGCATACATATGTATATTAATTAACTCAAAGCTATTTATTTTTCGTCATACGAAATTTGGCTTTACGTAACTGAACGGGTCCGTAACTTATTTGTATCCGGTCGAGGATTGACGGCTACAACATATTTTATGAGCCATTATTTTTATTGTGCGCATTCAAATTCGCTGACGCAGATTTTACGTCTTCGTTACCGTTAGTTTTGAAATATTTCGAATATTGCAACTGCCGGTTATGCTCATCGCTTTCCAACAAATTTGTGGCATCTGCGATATCCTTTTGAATGGCAGAAATAAGTTCTTCGAGTGAGCCAAAATTACGTTCAGGGCGTAGGTAGCCAACGATACAAACTTTCAGGAGGTGTCCATATAGATCGCCATCGAACTTATGTAGGATGTGAGTTTCCTAGAAAAATTAAGTAAAAACAGTTATGCATTTGTATACACAAACATATACATATGTACTTTTATATTCAAATAATTATTTAATTTATTTTTGAGTGTAAATAATATCTCTGGCTATTTTAGAGTAATACAATGCAGAGTATTTTGCACTTGTCATATTAGTGAATGCAAGCAAACCAATGACGACATAAGTATGGGTACATATGTATCTTCAAAAACAGTATGCCAACGAACTACCTGTATTAATTTACAATTTGGTAGATAATTTATAACAGATGGCTATGATATCAGCAAAATAAACCGGCATTGATAAGGAATTAGGAAGAGAAATTGACAATGGGTTTCCTTTGGAACATATGTACCCACACAAATAGGTCAACAACCATGTGTAACTATGAATGACTTAACACTTTTTTCAATATACATATGTATATTAGTTTGTTAGTACTTATGGAGCCGGTTGCGGTTCGAAGTAATTTTATACACAAAAACATATCAAATACAAACTAATCACAATATGCAATAAAATAATTACTATTCAAAATTATAGCGAAMTCACATATAAAGAAACTAATGCTAAGAATATATTGACTATTCGCTACATTTGATAGCGAAAAATTTTGTATAAGAATATAATTGTTTAAAAGTTGTTGGTCGATTTGCTTAATAAGAAACCAAATAACCCATACTAAATATATGGGAAAGAAAACATGATTTAGACGTCTACAAAAAATCCACTTTTGAAATTACGAACACCCTAATATGTATACATTCATACATCAACACTCTCATGCACATCTGTAAATGTAGATATGCACGTAGATTCGCGTAAAACCAAATATTATCTGAATTCTAATTTCCGACAAGCGTATTGTTTAAGCCTAAGATCAGTTCATTTGTTTAGTATTTTACCTCGACAAACATCGTGAGACGTAATTTTTATATAATGTGTAGATAAATCAAATTCTTTGTATTTCTAATTTTAGTATACAAATACATCACTTATATTTCCTGACTGTTCCACATAGTTACACTTTTCAGTGGCTTCAAAAAACTATTGACGTTATATAGTAAGTCTTTTGTACTCATCTAATTAAAAGAAACTATGAATTTAACGTTAATTTACAAAGCATAAAATAACTTGTAATTTCAACRCTTCTAATAAAATATATTATTAAAAAAGAGTATGCAAAACTTAGTTTACAATATACATATGTACATACATATGTATGTATTTCCGCAAGGAAATTTGWTATATGATGCAGAAAAATTATTATGTGATGAAATTTGATCGAACRATAGCAATTGTGGTAGTTTCGATGGGTGCTTCACTCCTAAATGTGTTCAACTAACAAGTGATTTATTAATGGAATAAGAAATTAATAGTTAGCTATGTCAGATTTGAAAAAGCGGCGGTGTTTCTCGTGATACATACTAGCAGGTAAACATACATATACATAACATCTAAATGAAAGTACTTGAAATATTTCCATGCAATACAATTCAATAAAAATAAATTGAAGTATTGATTTGATTAACTCACCATACTCTTCTCTTTATTGTCATAGTAGGGATTCGTTCCGATACTCATTACCATTTTATGCACTTCACCATTGTCTACACTCGCCCAACCGTAGTATATGCCCAAAGTTATTTCGGCCGGTAGCGCTTTCACYACTTCCAGAGGAAAATTCGCTGTGTAAGTTATATAAAAGAAATTATTAAAGCAGTCAGCAAGAAAACAAAGGCATTGAGTTTAAAAGTAATTAAATAATTGGGAATGCCACGTTTAAAGCTTAGAGATAAAGAGCTTCAAAATCGCTAAAGGTTCTACATTATTTTAATGTACCTGTTGGGATGCCAAGTTCTTTAGAACCACGTCCGAAGCCGTGCACGATTTCTCCGCTGGTAAAAAACGGCAAGTGGTTGAGCATTTTTTTAATGATGTTCTTTTGGTTCGTGCTATTTTTTAAGTCACTTTTCTTGCTGTAATTATGAGTATTAGTGGTTAAGCCACTGTTCAGGCAACGGATTTTTCGGGAACTTGATAATAAACCTCTAACGCTTGTACAAATGTCAATTAATGATCGCGTAGGACACGCCGTTAGGTAGTGTAGTCGCATCAGAACTTCAAATCTAAATGATTTCATACACTTTGGAACGCTTTTTATATCTGATAGATTACATGCATGCTTYTATGTATGAATGTTATATTTAACATATTGATTAGAGTACTCTTGTCTGTACACGTACATAAACAATATACTTCATAGTTAATATAACAAATTTGCGGGAAATATATCTATCTAATAATCGCAAACACGAGACATGATTGTTGTTATCTTATTTATTATAATATTTATTTAATTTAGTTTCCTTCTAAATTTCTTTTGTTTTTCAAATTCCGTTTGATGTTGTCAAAAACATATGTTTCGAGCTTTCAACGAAAAACTTATACAGGGAACGTATATCCAAAGAACGTATATCATAGAGGAGATTCACGAAACAGAGTATGTTAAAATATTTTTAGCCAACTCGAACAAGATAAGCGAGTTTCACCACAGTCAGCATTGCATAAAAATTATGCTCAGAACTATATATTGCTATTACAAACATCTGTTTCCTTTTTTGCTTATATTTTTAAACGTTTATATGCAATCACATATATTTATACGAAGTTCGTTTTCTGAATATATATGATTATGAATGATATACGTTTTCTGGCTCACCTAACGTTATCATGCTGTTTACAACTATATACATTTTCTTTTATTTTCTCTTGTTTGGCAACTCTAAGTGAAAGCTGTCTGGAACAGCTGTTTATCACTGAAAAAGCAGTAAGAAGAGTTCATAAATATTATAAGTGTAAACAAAAATAACTGTTTTATGATTTTTTAAATAAATCAGTAAAATCATCAATATATAAAACAATTAACTTGAAGCTGTCGAAATGAAATTGACTGACGTAGGCCCCAAAATGTGTCGTGTATGCTTGACGCGTACTCCTAAGCTAAGATCCCTATATGAGCCATTAGACGAAGGCGAAGAATCGCCGAATGAAATGCTGCATCTAATTGCAGGCATTACGCTGGAAGAGGTAGTTGTCATGTTATATCTTTTGCAACAAAATAATATTAAAAATTTAATTTCATGCTAGGCGGAGAACTATGAAACATTGCCGAAATGTATTTGTAAAAATTGCGAATTGTCGCTTAGTTTGGCACACCAGTTTCGAATTAAAGTTCTACATACACATCAGATAATTGAAGCCTATCGGCAACAAGAATTGAGTGTACTCGAAATAGAGGAAGAAAAAGCAAAGCAAACTCTTGACGCACCTGTGAAAGTTGAATTCGAARACTTGGTCGACGAGAGTGCGGTCGTGGAAAATATTTACCTCAATGAAGAAATAATAAGTAACAAAGAGATGAAAGTAGAAATGTTGGAAATGTCATTTTCCGACGTTGATGATATTAACATGGAAAACGAAGAGCACGAAAGTCTTGAAATAAATGAAGACGAATGCAAACCAGAGTACTTGGACGAATTTTATACCGAAAGTAATGTAGCAGCTAGCATGTCCGGAACAGAGTTAGAGCCTTTGGAAGTAAGTCCAGAAGATAAAAGCGGGAAAGAATTAACAGTTGTAGAGAATACCTCCGCAACTACAAATAAGTCAAACGAAGAATGTGATAATAAAGTAAGCTCGGAAGTCATAAAAGATAAAAATTTCTACACAAGAGGTCCCTATAAGAAAAAGATTATATCCAAGGAAAATAAAAAATATATATGTGATGTCTGTGGTAATATTTATGCGAAACGTGGTCGCATGACCGAACACAGACGAAGGCATGACAAAGAGTTGCGTTACGCTTGCGAGTAAGTGCTTAAAACAATACTATATGTAAAAATATTTTCTTATTGAAACCATTTAAATTCTGCATTTTAGACTCTGCGATAAACGTTTTAATTTGCGCGAGCATTTGCGCAAACATATGTAYCAGCATAAAGGTGGCAAGCCATTTAAATGTTCCTTCTGCAGTCGAACATTTTTCTATGAAAGTGTGAAGAAAGCACATGAGGCGTAAGAAAGAGCTGCACTAAATTCCAAACACTTTTTCATATGCAATTTTATTTTCAACAGCATACACAGTGGCGTCAAACCCTATGTTTGTGATGTGTGTAATAAAGCTTTTGCATACCAACATGCGCTTGGTAAACACAAACTAATACATGCTGACGTCAAGTTTTATCACTGCGAATACTGTGGCAAGGATTTTCGCTTACAGCATCACCTAAAACAGCATAAAGAGACAAAGTCGCATCAAAGTGCCGTACGTGCTTATCATATGGAGGATGACGAATATCAGGAAGAAATAAGTGAAGAACAAATATATGAAGATGGAGGATATGTGGAAGAAATATTTATATATCAGCAAGAAGGCTTCAAGGATCAGAATGTTATTGAAACGGCACCAACAAGTCTAAATCAATTAGTGGAGCAGATCATGAATTAGTTTACAGATTTTAGGTATACAACTACTGTTTATTTATGTCAGCAATCTTAATTTTAGAAATAGAGTTTAGAGCTATTTAAACCAACATTAACGGGTGTTTCTACTTATCAATTATTTGACGTGTTTAAATGGCGAGAAAAGAACGACGAAAATCGGCATCACATGAGCTACGATAGAARCCGATTTTTTTGCTGGTCATCTGTCGAAAGCGTCGCATGCCTTCGTGTATCTCCTGCACACTAATGGGTCGCACCACCTCCATGCCTCGACCCTGTGTGACTTCGGGGCAAATGTGYAACATTGCCGGCGAAGCACCTGTCGACGTAATGCGACTGTACGGTTCCGTTACACGATTCTCCGAATTTAAACGCGTCAATATAGCATAATCTACAATCACTGCGATGGTTTCGTGTGCAAAATAGGCCAAAATATTCATTGTGGTTGTTGGTATGCGTAGATCTGGTGGCAAGTCGAGAAAACGACGAAATTTATTTTTAATCTTTTCACCATGGCGACAATAGAATGACGTTTTGCGCGCTTCATTGAATTCCAAATATTGTTGACCAGTTAGTATCTGCGAAATGCGRTCGGCACGAAAGAGTCTACGTGTACGCTCTTCATCGTACAATTCTGGTACCTCTATGGCGAGCTCATCCTCAGATTCTTGTTGCTCTGTGTCATCCATAAAATCTTGTGGTCGTCCAGTGCGTATGCTCAAAAAGCGCTTTAATATCTTCATATCCTTTAAATGTTTGCGCATACGMGCAATTTTGACTGGATGATTACGCATTAGAAATTCAAAATCCGCTTGTGTTGGACATGGACTGTTCTTGCGACGCATAGCCACCAACGATGCTTCGTTGAACATGCCACGCAGTTGTTGTTGGAGTATATGTTCAACCAATTTGACACTTTCCATGCGTGGTTGATCGCTATCTCCAAAGCTACGCATGATGTCCGAAATTTCKGGCAACAATGTGACGGGCGCATCATCAGCTGCAGTGCCAGCTGCAAGTCCACTTGCTATGCCAGCGGCGCTGTTGGTGCTGCTATTGGAGAGCTGATGCTGCAATGCATGTGGTGAGGCGGTAGTCTGCGGCTGCTGTTGCAGAAGTAAAGTTGGTGTTGTAGTTCCACTGCCATCTGAGTTCGTGCTGGCGGAGGCTGCACTGAAGCTTGTTGAGTTTTGCCGTGACGGTCTTTTGTTATTGTAATTCATTTTTGTTTAACACTAAACAATTTTTGATAAAAAAAAAATAAAATTGTTTACACACAATGCKAAACTTTTGTGAAGTGGTGGTATAACAGACAGAGAGAGCATGCAAGGAGAACAGGGTTGTTATATGACGAACAGCTGCTCAGCTGCTATTCAAACTTCAGTGTTGCTTTTCAGAGTATGAAATGTGTAAATTGTTTTTAAAAAATTATAATTATTTATACAAACTTCAAACTAAAGCAAATGGACAATAATAGAAAAGTAGATGAAATTTCTCTTAAATTTATTTATATTTACAAYTTTTAGTTGTTGGTATTATTTCATTTGTGTTTTTTTCTTCGCATTGTACACGTTTCGGTTTTCTGCTTAAGTCTTTTGTGTTCTTCGACTTTTTCGCAAAGTGATCCACGATCGTTTCGAAATTATGATGATATTATATAGAATCTTGTGGCCGGCRCCAGCAAGCTTTGCACTTGTTTTTGCTTAATAATGATGACAAAATGAATCCTATAATAACGGTTTTTTTTTTTTTTGAAGAAGTTCCACATATAATAGTAATCCAACTAATATTGTGTCCTTCGTATGACTCACTTTTCCTCGAAGAAAGTTTATGAAAATGGACCGCTTATGACTCGAGCGGGTTCTGATCCTTTTTGTGATAGCTGAAATTATGGTCATATGTGAAAAAAATTAAAAAGTTSTCGATAACGGTCAGGACGGACCCAGGTGCAGTAGAAAGAAGTTGGCTGTGTAACATAACGAAATCCTTTCACGAAGTATCTGCATATTTGTAGTTTACGTCGACGACATAGAAAATTTTSTCTACCAAACTATGGGCGCAACTTYAGACAAGAACGGAAMGSCATTTAAAGTGGAGCTATTAACATCTTTACTACCTCCTTTCTAGTGAATGGCGTCCTGGGAAATCAACAACCATCCAAAGCACCCGAGAAGCTCGTGTTGTCTCGCGAATCTATCTCGCACAACTTTATTCCGGATACTGTAGCAGATTAGGGTCATTCTTTTCGAGCATTGAACTTACTAAAGCTATAACCACCCTTTGCCTGAAAGCAACTAACCTAACAGCCCTTTCTTTATGGTTCGATCCCACCGAAACGGCGTTTCCTGCACCTCCCTTTAAGTGATTTCGATGACAATTAACTGACATCTTTCCACCCGAGCAGGGTCTGCTTATCCGTTGCAACAACAAACACTAACCGTTACATCACTGAATATTATTGAAAAAAGTAGATTTTAGAAGTATACATGAAACYGAGGAAAACGAAGCCTTCACCAGCTCCAACASATTGCTAACCAACACACTGGGCTGCTTGATGGCTTAAGTGCACCTGTGCATCTCTTCGCCCGCCGTTGCTGCGAACCACTCAAACAAGGTAAGAATAGCCATATCTTTTATCTRCATCRTCTCCGCAATTTAAGAGAAGAATACCGCGGATTTTCACATTTCAAATTTGTCTGCGAGCGACCTTGAAAACAGTTCACAAGTATGCTGAAATGCATGCTTTGCACTTGTGTGGCMGCGGTGGAGGCGATGATGTCGACGATGTTTGTTGGTTGCTGCCTACCTAGATAATCGGCGGCAGTGTCGTAAAACGAACGAAGTGGCCAATGCATAGCGACAAAAGAACATTATGTGC